TCGTCTGGCCTTTTCCGCCACATCCGTGGTCGATCTAGTCGGAAAAGGCCATATAGAGGCCCTATTGGCCAGATCCGACCACTGTGCATCGTAACGCCCTTTCCCGAAGATTTTAGCTCCATGGCCAAAATCTGGCACCTGGGTAGATGGGGTGTATCTGTTAATTTTAAAACCATTTGCACAGAATCGCTTAAGAGATACAATGGATCGCTTAAGCTATCATGTGATTGGCAAAAGCAAATCTGCCCAGGTGCATGATCGCTTAAGCGATCCGTGATATCGCTTAAGCGAATCTTGTCTTTTTCCCATGGTCGATTAAGCGATCGTGGATCGCTTAAGCGATCATGCACCTGGGCAGAATCAATCAGTCCAGGTACATGATCGCTTAAGCGATCTGTGTATCGCTTAAGCGATCCTGTTACAAACACTTTGTCGCTTAAGTTACACTTAGTCGCTTAAGCGATCGTGGCAATATATAACTTTTGCACCTTTTCCCCTGAATTTTGACAAACTAAAATTACCAACACGTATTAATTCCATACTTTTTCCTCAATTTGACAACCTAATTCCAACTAAAATCACCAACCAAATATTTAGACCATGTAATAAATACACAATATGATAATATTTATTAAGGTAACAATAAAATTTAAAACATCAATATTGAAACATAACTCATCAACGGTTGCCCTTCGCAACTCCCTGAACTTCATCCTTCTTCGAATCGAACCTAATTACTTCTGGCAACTGCTTCTCTTGTGACAGGTTGCTTGCAAATTGAGCACTTATTCATCTTCTGGGAACCTCAAAGGCTGATGGAATACGCTTAACCCTTTTTCTCCCCTTTGGGTGTCTTCTTGAATGGCGGCTGGAGGATAATGTCAGCCCCCTCTGGCGGCACTACCCACTGCTCTTCTGGAGGCACCGGATATATCGTTTCTGAATATGCTAGCATGTAGTGTCTGTCATATAGAAAGGGGAGCAAAGTTCCATGTAAATCTTGAACCAAATCCAGCTTCCGTTGGTGTTTCAGTGCTGTTAGGCATGAGGACAAGGTAACCATTGAATGTCAGCACTTTACAGCTGCAAGTTTTTGTAACAAGGTTAACTAGCATCCGGACCATAGCCGTGCACAGTAACCTCTGAGCATTAGAGGATAGGCAAACAGTGCATTTGACAGTTCCATATGTTCTCGCATAATTTTTCAGTGATGGAACAAGGGTTGTAGTAAAATTTGACTGACTCCGTACGACGCTCATGGACCACCGCGACAGTGTCCTTTGGATTGCATCAAAAAGTGCAACTATTGGAAACTCTTTTTCTATTAACAACTTCGAATTTAGGACTCAGCTATGTTCGTGGTCATGACATCAAACCTTCTTCCGGAAAGTAAGCTCTACTCCATCTCTCGAAACCAACATCATGCTCAAGTACTAACAACTCTAACATCCTTGATCAGATTTGCTGGAAGTGCTCCTCGAACTCATCAACCCGATAAGATTTTGCTGCCATGTAGTTGTCTGAAGGAGGCCAGCACACTTAAACTTTTGTTTTTATGTCTTCACCAAGGTGCCTCTACAGAATCCGTGCTGTGCTTAACGGTAAATAGTGGCAATCCCCTTCTTTATAGAGTTGTGCCTATCGAATATTATGCACAACTCGTCACTGTCAGCACTATCGTACGTAACTACTGAAAACCAAGTCCCCAACTCGTCATTCTCAGTCAACCACACACCATGCAACAGATATGCGTGATTCTCACTGTCCTGTGCAGTGCCACCATAATGTACCTCCATACTTTCCCGTCAGAAAGCAACCATCAACAGCCAACACCTTTCTCATGTTTACAAAACCCCTTATATGCAGAACCATAAGCAACAAAAAATATTTAACATCAATTCCGTCCCACTTCAAAGCCGTCTTGCTACCTTGTTTGTCAACTCAAGCTTAACGTTATGCTTCTAATACTGCGTACCCGTGCTCCGGCTGCCCCTCACAAAATCTTGTGCATGTTGTCTCCCTTTTCACATTTCCAGTAACTAATAGCATATCCCAACTCTGTGCGCCACAATTCTCTGAATGTCTTTAGGAATGGACCTTTCCCTTCGACGAACCCTTTGACAAATTGTCCAATACATCAGCGGACGCTTGTCGATGCTCACCTGAAATATGTCCCAAACCACAGTGTGTCTCAGGGTATATGTGCTAAGAAAACTTTTCCAACTCCGCCAACCTTCTACATAAACCCGCCACTTGCACTTTCGGTCACGACATGCAACCGTCACCGCCAATGAATTTGACTTTTTGGTGATAAACTCAAAATTACCTTTCACAGCACCAAGTTTTAGCTTCCTCACCACTTCCTCTTTGTTGTCAAATAATCCCTATGCCAACTCTGATCCATCCGTAAGACATAGATGATCCACACTACCTCCAATTGCCCCCTTTGAACCTGCATAAACGACCATAGTGTTCTCTTCCTCACAATCTACGCCTTCTGCATAATCTGTATTAAAGGAATCTCTACATTCGTGGGAACTCTACGGGTCCTCCTCCTCAACATTTTCATTCTGCCCCCCATCACCAACCTCTTCCATAGTGTCCTCCTCACCACCCAATTCACCGTCTACTCTTGATTTTTCAGCTAACAAATCAATGGCCTCGTAGTTCAATTAACACCAGGCAAATCTCCGCCTACATCCGCGTTACCCCTTCCTTGGAACCAACTTCCAACGGTTTTTCTACATAAGAAACCCTTAAAATTGGCCTCGAACCACTATCGGCCATATCAATCATAAATAACTTCACACTTTCATCCGACGTTAATAAGCAGGAGTCTTATAATTTTCAGGAGCTCTCTATTAACCATACTTCACAACTATATCCCTACGCGAGCAACTCAATTACCTCTTCTAATTATTTCATCAATCAACTCATCAAAACTAACCTTGTGCTCACAGCAATTGGTTTAACTTCTTTGCTCTTCCCATCCACTTCCACCTACTTCTTCCTCCACCCACTCACCAAAATATTCAACACCCAAAACAACTGGTCCCATCTATAATAATAGCTAACTACCTGTAATGCAAGAAAAACAATATTCTTAAATGATGTCCTAAGGGTTCAAATATTTTAAAAATCTGCCCATTCGCATATTTGGTCTGATGTATCGCTTAACCGTTCATGGTTATTTATACTGATCGCTTAAGCGATACACTTGATCGCTTAAGCGATCCAGTATATAACCATGATCGCTTAAGCGATCTTATGCCATTTACTATCGCTTAAGCGATCTGCTCCCATACAACAGACTTTAACCAAATCGCATAAGCGATCTTATGCCACATACCTGATCGCTTAAGCATCTATCTGCTGCATTACCAGACCTACTAGATCGCTTAAGCGATCCATCGTACCCAACACATTTTCAGTCATCTCCACCTCACATCGATCCATCATACCCAGAATAAATACCCAGAAAATTTTCAACAAATTCACTCCTTTCAACTTGCATTACATCAAACACAACCCAACAACCTAAACAACTAAATCAAAATCATAACCCAAACCCCATCCATTATTAAATCTTTGTAAATCTAAATAAAATGTAAAAGGGATACACATACTTAGACGAAATGTCAGGAGGAGAGGGAGAGGAGGAGGGGGATCTTTGCCGGAGAAGATGTTAATGGTGAGGAAGAAGAAATGTTAATGCGGAGGAACAAGAAGATATAGAGGAATGAGGAAAGAAGATGTACAGGAAGGAGGAAGAAGAAAAGATGTAGACGAAGCCAAGAAGAAGAGAAGAGATGCAGAGGTAGAGATGCGTTAATGGCGGAGGAAGAAGAAGGTGTTTTGGGTTTGTTTGCAACAATTTCGGGTTTGTGGAAATATAGTATAATTTTGAAAAGATTACATTACCAATTAAGCACTAATTACCCTTAATCATAATATGGCTATTTAGTTAACACTTTAAAACTTGATAGCCGTTTAATTAAATGTAAACTTCAAATGTCTTTTTAATAAACTCCCCCAGATTGATCTGCGGATTTCCCTTTCAGGCAGTACAATAACGGTTCAGATCCGAGTCCGTTTCGGTTTCGAATGACACTTCTATATTTATCTTTTCCCCACTTTTTTAAGTAAATATTCTCAATGAATTTTACATCTAATTATTAAATTTGAAGTAATATAATATTGTATATTTAAGCATAATTTATTATTATTATTATTTATTATTATTATTATTATAAAATGGGTAAATTTGACATGCTTTTAGGAAAGATATTAACAAAATCTAACTTTTTTTTTTTTGAAGTTTCAAGTTTGAACTATTGGGTTATACTTTGTATTTACCGACCAGTTTCAACCATTATTACAGTGATAATAATAATAAGAGTTAACAATTTTTTCCCACCCAATAATGTTTAATGACTCTTTTTCCACCCACAAACTTTTAAAATATTATTTTACTATCCAAATTTATTTTCAAGCCAACAAACTGAAAACAAACTCTTTTTAGGCTATTAATACTTTTGAAGAGAGAGCCGACAAGTTTAGTGATGGAATTGTAATTTTAGTGACAAAATTTGTTAGAATTTAATTTGGAAGAGACGTTGCACAAACCCTAATCGTTCCATTTTGGTGATTGACAAGGTCGACAAAAATATGGTTTAAAGGATTTTGATGAATAATGATAAAGAAGAATATGATGATATAAGGTCACAACAATACTAAAATAAAAACAAATATAAATTTAAATAATAAAATAATATTTTAAAAATACTAGAGAAAATGTTCACTCCTAATAATAACTTCCAAATGGCCAACACACTGTAACATAACCCATCATATATAATAATCTTCTGATAAATTTTTACGTAAACAAGTTTGAAACATAATAAAAAGAATATATATATATATATATATATAATATATATATATATAATATATATATATTATATATATCTATTATATCTTTGCTTGCACATGTAAAATGATTAACACAAATCACAAGAACCTTAAAACCTTACATAAACTCAAACACGTTTTAGCACTCATAAAGGCACTACTTGAATTCCCACGAGTGCAGACCTAAAATTGCAGAGGCTTATAGCAACAAAGGCACACCCTTAAGACTCTCAAATGTATACAATGTCAATTCAAAATACTCACACTACATTTCCCACCCGATTTTAGTACAAGTACAATCAGAATCAGTTACAGACTTACCTTATTGCATCAAACTACTACTATTAAACAAGAAGAACAAACAATTGAGTTATAATTACTAGAAATTCTTGTTTTGCAGATAATCTGCCAGGGACTTGCTTTTGAACTTTTCGACTTTGGACCTTGTAGATTCAATGGTTTTCTCTAGCTCAGAAGATTCGGATTCCAGCTCGCACAAGCGGGTTTTGGTTTCAGCGACACGAGCCTTTGCAGCTTGGTATTCTTTTTCCTTGAGAGCTAAATCTTCCATTTGGGATTCCAGTTCTGTCCTTGTTGATGCCAAGAGATTATCACAGCTAGCTTTTGCTCTTTCGATGGTTTGGTGCCGGGTAGTAAGCTCGATGGCTTCTGAGATTTCATTGAGAATATTGCGCAGCCATTCGACATCAATTTGAGCAGATTCGACATCTTTAACAACAGCTAACATTTCTTTGACTTTGGCTTTGGTAATCTGCATAAACGAAGTAGCTTGCAGCTCTTGAACCACGGCGCAAAGGCATTCTAAATAGTACGCACGCATGGAATTTGATTTCAATTGACAGTTTGCTGCTATATCTCCATATTTGTCCAAGATCGTCTGCAAAATGGAAGAAACACTTGCTTTCACTTGGTATTTTCCTACCGAGACACATGAATCTGAAATTACAGATTCTGCATCATCATCACTGTCTTCTTCAACATCGTTGACACCTAAGAAACTAAAGTTCCTAGACCCAACAGGTGACCTAGCAATTTCTTCTCCAGTGTCCTCGGCCTTCGGGGAGGCTTTATGCTTCTCATCCTTTTCATGTTTGGCTGGTGATTCTTCATCAGCAACAGGAACAATCTCCTTTGGAGGATCTTTGGACCTATTATTCTGTTAGAGAAGAGGATGCGGATGAGTCAAACGGATATCAATAACAGATTATTGATCCAACATAACATGACAGAAAGTGAGAGAGAAGGATAAGCACCATCATCATATTCCCAGATAGAGGTATTGATTGAGAGGATATCATATTCCCAGATGGAGGTATTGATTGAGTGGATATCATATTCCCAGATGGAGGTATTGATTGAGTGGATTTAACTTGCTCCTTGCTGAAAGGATTATCTTGAGGATAAATTTCAGCAGAATATTGTTCGGAAGAGAAGGACCCATTTTTCTCTGAATCGACCTTTTTCTTAGGATTATGTTCGGATTGAGCATTTCTAGCATCAGGCTTGATACCTCCAAAAGAGACATCTCGAGGAGAATTTGGTTGACTTGCATATGCTTTCTTTTTCCTGCCAAAGCTCCAGGAGCCTGCAATGAGAAATGCACCACGTTAGAAGTCACACATTAAAGAGTTGGTGTGCTGTGGAATGAGAAATATCCTCCTTGAGGTGGACTCTGCAATTTTGTCAATCAGGAAAACTAGATACAATTATCTCTGAAGTACATATAATTTAAATAAACTAGTACTCTTTCTTTCTTTTACTTTCTTATCTCTCTACAAAATCTGCAAAATAATTGAAAAATTGAAGGAAGAATGTTATTCATTCTACTTGCAGCAGAAAAAGCTTCCAGCATAATATCTATATCCCCGCTTACTTTAAATAACATTCCCATACCAGAAACCATCTAAAACTTCTAGCAAAAGCTTATCCATTGCTCTAATTTTCACGGCCACGCTTTTTTTTTTTTTTTTTTTTTTGACTCAAAAATCCCTCAACCTTCCCTACATGTTCACAGAGCTCTAAAATGTGAGCTACTTCTAGACCTTACAACCTTGGTATCTAAGAAACTTGTGGGATATAATACCCCAAGTAGATGGCAAAAATCAGATTTGAATCCTTTTCCTCTTTGTTGAAACCAAGGGCTTTTACCACTAAGGGTTATACTTTCAGAGTAACTAGGAACATAGAATTGATAAAGGGTACGTTTGCTAGTGACAAAATATTCATTTTTCCAAAACTCACTCTTAATTCAGATCACTAGAGGGCTTATGAAAATTATGCATCAGCACATCATCATTCTCTTGGGGTCGATAGAAGGATGAAAAACAGGAAAAGTGAAAAAATCAAGCAAGATCGAAATTATTTCAAACAATTTGATGAAAAACAGAATACAAATAAACAAAGGAAAAAAAATAAAGACCTGATTCTTTTTTAAACCCAAGAGCATTGACCTCGCCATTTCTGTTCATGCAATAGTCACCACATTCGTGGTAAGGATTAGACGCTTTAGGACAATTTGGATGCACTTTTCTCTGTTCATCCTTCTTTTTGGTAACTGCAACTACATTTATACCATTGTGATTATCTAAAAGAAACGGAAAAATTCAAACACTTCTTAATCCAATATTATTATCACTTAACTGGTCCCTTATAATCCTAGATTATTGTCATGCGCAATTAAGCTAGCAAAAATGTCAAATGAGACTTACCAACAGGTCAAGATTACCAAACTTACATGAAACCCACCAGACAATTTACTATCTACAATCAATCTTCAAGAAATGATTCATATAAAAAAATCTGTGAACCAAAATTAGGTGAGAGTTTCGCCAAGAGGTTCTTTCACATATAATAAACAAGAACTGGATGAGTGTCAATCATCCAAATGTTTTAGAATCAAAGGACTAATGGAAGCTGGAAGGCCACCCCAGGGGTAGGATGTTTCACAAAACACAAATGTAAAGCGAGTATATCACACTTATCATTGTCAGAAGAAAAAAAAATGTAAATGGAATAAACACTGCAGCTAGTCAAGGAAAAAACAGAAATCGCCAAATGAGGGGAATGGAATTCTACACCCAGTAAGTAAAATAAGTTCAGCAAACATATAGGGACAACAAGAAAATGATAAACTGTAATGAAAATATATCATAACATGATCGGAAAACAAATTGAGTATCTATCAAATTCAAACTATGTCGGAAAAACAGAATGAAAAGGTTATCATCTATCTCTATATTTAGAAGTAGAGTCCATCAACAAGCATATAAAATGCAAATTGCCTCTCCAAGATCCAATAAATCAAACAACACAAAGCGTCATATGGAGTATCACTTTTCCATGGAACCAATACCGTGAAAATAAAGTTCTGCTAACAAAGGAGGTAGCACTGCCTCGTAAAACAACAAATTTAAGAAACTTAAAGATCATCAATCAACTGTAATCTCTAGAAATATAGCACAATCATAGAACATATGAACCAAAAAATACCTGCAAGAAATAACCATACTTACCCGACTTCTTTTTTTCCTTCTGTCCCTGTCCCTGAGCAATCTTTTCCAAGCAATACATACCACACTCATGGTAAGGATTATTAGCATTCACACAATTCGGGTGAACTCTCCCGTTTTGAGCCATATCCTAGTTGAGTTTGCCCAACCTGCAAATCCCAAAAATCATTAAAACAACCTGCTTTATATCAAGAGAAGTTTCTTATCCAATCACACAATAACCCCATATTGTTCAATCCCAAAAAAGTCTTTTCTTTGATTGAAAATCATACTGCATACAAACACCTTTTAAACAAGAATCTTCTTATAGGCTTGAGATTAGGTAATAAATATACCAACTCCGTAAACAAAATCACTGCTTGATGGCTGCAAATTTTCACATCCAATTGAAAAAAAATAACATTTAAACTGAAATAGGTATGAATAGACCAATTCAAAACCAAACCTTTGGCAAAAAACTGAACCTTTTTTCCAGAAATAACAGAAAAAAAATCCCTTCAAAATTAAGAAAGATTATTTACAAATCACTCCATCAACCAAAAACACAAACTTAAACATACTCAGGATAGCAAAACTTCCATGCAACAATAAACCACAAAGAAAGAAGAGGAATTCAGAGAAAGAAAAATTACCCAGATAAGCTTTGTGAAAGAGGCTCTTGAGAGAATACAGAATAGTACCTTTTTTTTCTTTCTTGATTTTCAATTTAGGAGGTGTGGAATGAATGATGGACTTTGTTTCTTTGCCAAGTTTCTAGAGGGTGCATTTAATTGACCAAACACACTACTATGTCATTTGTCCTTAACCATGAGTTCTTCTGTTCTTGGGATGTTCGCAAATGTTGACTGTTGGTCACTTTTTGAAAAGTTATTATTTAATTGGCTTAATAATGGTCTTCTCTGAAGTTAACCCCACTCTCACACATGACACAAGAAGATGAATCCACAAAATGACCCCATAACGATAAGCGGCTTTAATAATATCTGGCAGACGGGAGATGGACCGTTGTGATTTTTAGTTGACTCAGCTGTGCGTTGGGGTTAATACAACCCCTGTACTTTGGAAAGCTAACTATAGACCCCTATTGTTTCGAAAATATTATTCATTCCCCAAAGTTAAGTATTCACTTGGTTTTGACTTCTCGGTAATCTTTTAAAAAACTTTTATTCATAAAAATCCAAATTTTCAAACATAACCAGAACATACTAAAACCCTTTTAAGTTTGCTATATATATATATATATATATATTTTTTTTTTTTTATAATTCTTGGTTTTTCTTTTTTATATATTTTGAATTTCTTTTTGATCAATTTCAATTTGAGGTTTTCTTGAAATAATTGTATGAGTTTCTTCACTTTTTATGAATTCCTTAGAAGTTTCTAAACACGCAATTAGGCCAACGTAAGTATTTTTGAGCGAAACTTATGTAAGATGATTTCTACAAAATCTGCAAAATAATTGAAAAATTGAAGGAAGAATGTTATTCATTCTACTTGCAGCAGAAAAAGCTTCCAGCATAATATCTATATCCCCGCTTACTTTAAATAACATTCCCATACCAGAAACCATCTAAAACTTCTAGCAAAAGCTTATCCATTGCTCTAATTTTCACGGCCACGCTTTTTTTTTTTTTTTTTTTTTTGACTCAAAAATCCCTCAACCTTCCCTACATGTTCACAGAGCTCTAAAATGTGAGCTACTTCTAGACCTTACAACCTTGGTATCTAAGAAACTTGTGGGATATAATACCCCAAGTAGATGGCAAAAATCAGATTTGAATCCTTTTCCTCTTTGTTGAAACCAAGGGCTTTTACCACTAAGGGTTATACTTTCAGAGTAACTAGGAACATAGAATTGATAAAGGGTACGTTTGCTAGTGACAAAATATTCATTTTTCCAAAACTCACTCTTAATTCAGATCACTAGAGGGCTTATGAAAATTATGCATCAGCACATCATCATTCTCTTGGGGTCGATAGAAGGATGAAAAACAGGAAAAGTGAAAAAATCAAGCAAGATCGAAATTATTTCAAACAATTTGATGAAAAACAGAATACAAATAAACAAAGGAAAAAAAATAAAGACCTGATTCTTTTTTAAACCCAAGAGCATTGACCTCGCCATTTCTGTTCATGCAATAGTCACCACATTCGTGGTAAGGATTAGACGCTTTAGGACAATTTGGATGCACTTTTCTCTGTTCATCCTTCTTTTTGGTAACTGCAACTACATTTATACCATTGTGATTATCTAAAAGAAACGGAAAAATTCAAACACTTCTTAATCCAATATTATTATCACTTAACTGGTCCCTTATAATCCTAGATTATTGTCATGCGCAATTAAGCTAGCAAAAATGTCAAATGAGACTTACCAACAGGTCAAGATTACCAAACTTACATGAAACCCACCAGACAATTTACTATCTACAATCAATCTTCAAGAAATGATTCATATAAAAAAATCTGTGAACCAAAATTAGGTGAGAGTTTCGCCAAGAGGTTCTTTCACATATAATAAACAAGAACTGGATGAGTGTCAATCATCCAAATGTTTTAGAATCAAAGGACTAATGGAAGCTGGAAGGCCACCCCAGGGGTAGGATGTTTCACAAAACACAAATGTAAAGCGAGTATATCACACTTATCATTGTCAGAAGAAAAAAAAATGTAAATGGAATAAACACTGCAGCTAGTCAAGGAAAAAACAGAAATCGCCAAATGAGGGGAATGGAATTCTACACCCAGTAAGTAAAATAAGTTCAGCAAACATATAGGGACAACAAGAAAATGATAAACTGTAATGAAAATATATCATAACATGATCGGAAAACAAATTGAGTATCTATCAAATTCAAACTATGTCGGAAAAACAGAATGAAAAGGTTATCATCTATCTCTATATTTAGAAGTAGAGTCCATCAACAAGCATATAAAATGCAAATTGCCTCTCCAAGATCCAATAAATCAAACAACACAAAGCGTCATATGGAGTATCACTTTTCCATGGAACCAATACCGTGAAAATAAAGTTCTGCTAACAAAGGAGGTAGCACTGCCTCGTAAAACAACAAATTTAAGAAACTTAAAGATCATCAATCAACTGTAATCTCTAGAAATATAGCACAATCATAGAACATATGAACCAAAAAATACCTGCAAGAAATAACCATACTTACCCGACTTCTTTTTTTCCTTCTGTCCCTGTCCCTGAGCAATCTTTTCCAAGCAATACATACCACACTCATGGTAAGGATTATTAGCATTCACACAATTCGGGTGAACTCTCCCGTTTTGAGCCATATCCTAGTTGAGTTTGCCCAACCTGCAAATCCCAAAAATCATTAAAACAACCTGCTTTATATCAAGAGAAGTTTCTTATCCAATCACACAATAACCCCATATTGTTCAATCCCAAAAAAGTCTTTTCTTTGATTGAAAATCATACTGCATACAAACACCTTTTAAACAAGAATCTTCTTATAGGCTTGAGATTAGGTAATAAATATACCAACTCCGTAAACAAAATCACTGCTTGATGGCTGCAAATTTTCACATCCAATTGAAAAAAAATAACATTTAAACTGAAATAGGTATGAATAGACCAATTCAAAACCAAACCTTTGGCAAAAAACTGAACCTTTTTTCCAGAAATAACAGAAAAAAAATCCCTTCAAAATTAAGAAAGATTATTTACAAATCACTCCATCAACCAAAAACACAAACTTAAACATACTCAGGATAGCAAAACTTCCATGCAACAATAAACCACAAAGAAAGAAGAGGAATTCAGAGAAAGAAAAATTACCCAGATAAGCTTTGTGAAAGAGGCTCTTGAGAGAATACAGAATAGTACCTTTTTTTTCTTTCTTGATTTTCAATTTAGGAGGTGTGGAATGAATGATGGACTTTGTTTCTTTGCCAAGTTTCTAGAGGGTGCATTTAATTGACCAAACACACTACTATGTCATTTGTCCTTAACCATGAGTTCTTCTGTTCTTGGGATGTTCGCAAATGTTGACTGTTGGTCACTTTTTGAAAAGTTATTATTTAATTGGCTTAATAATGGTCTTCTCTGAAGTTAACCCCACTCTCACACATGACACAAGAAGATGAATCCACAAAATGACCCCATAACGATAAGCGGCTTTAATAATATCTGGCAGACGGGAGATGGACCGTTGTGATTTTTAGTTGACTCAGCTGTGCGTTGGGGTTAATACAACCCCTGTACTTTGGAAAGCTAACTATAGACCCCTATTGTTTCGAAAATATTATTCATTCCCCAAAGTTAAGTATTCACTTGGTTTTGACTTCTCGGTAATCTTTTAAAAAACTTTTATTCATAAAAATCCAAATTTTCAAACATAACCAGAACATACTAAAACCCTTTTAAGTTTGCTATATATATATATATATATATATTTTTTTTTTTTTATAATTCTTGGTTTTTCTTTTTTATATATTTTGAATTTCTTTTTGATCAATTTCAATTTGAGGTTTTCTTGAAATAATTGTATGAGTTTCTTCACTTTTTATGAATTCCTTAGAAGTTTCTAAACACGCAATTAGGCCAACGTAAGTATTTTTGAGCGAAACTTATGTAAGATGATTTTACCACCTCTTTTGTGAGATCAATTTATAATCATCATCATAATTTATTGATTATTATTGTTATAGTTGGCTTGGTGGGTCAGCATCCTGTCGTGGCAAAGGCCGATGGGTTGAGTCACCACAAACAGTGACACAAGATTGATGATTTAAGGAAATAAAGTTACACCTCTACTATAAGCTATAACTTTTGGTTTGGTGGTATGCAATTGATCCTAAGAAGTGACATCAAAACCAAGTCACAAGTTTGAATCCCTTAAAGAGCTTACTGCTTGTAAGCAAATGCTGAAGGGGGATTGTTGGCTAGGTGGACCAACATCCCACCGTGACAAAGGCTAATGGATTGAGTCACCACTCAAACCGTGAGCATAGAGCTAACAGTTTAAGAAAATAAGGTTATGCTTCTGTTGCAAGTTATAACTTTTAGTCTAGTCGTATGTGCCCGATCTTAACAAATTATGATAGGTGAATGACTTGAAAAACACTATTACATACTTGATAAGTCGGAACATTATTTAAACGAACAGTCTCACCGCTTAGCAAAAGAAAGTCTTGTGAATGTTTTAGTAAATTTTCTTTGATACGGGGATCTGAGTGTTAGTTTAGAAATATAAAGGGGCTTTTTAAGTTAAGAGTTGTATTAATCCAGCTTACCTTTGGATGGCTTCGCCAACCACTAAATCTACTTTGAGCTTCTGGCACAAAGCTAGAACACGTGGGGGCAGCTAGTTGGCCTACACGTGGACCACATTTACTTTCATTTAGTGCTTTCACTTTGTTCTTGTTCACATGTTAACTGTGAAAAACATGCCTTCTAATATAATTACGAATTAAATCGAGATTAATTAATTAATTAAATCGAGATTTTGTAAATAAAGTTGATATTCATGGGTGATTTCAGCAAAATTATTGGATTAAATTAATTAAAAATATTTGTTGTAAAGATAAATGAGGAATCGAGATAATTATAAGTGTCCACAATTATTTTATTTTTTTGAAATAAATATATAAAAAAGTTGTTTTGCCTCTTTCAGAATTCCGACGCCTTGATTTCGTAGAAAATTCCATTGAGAAAATAATGGTTGGATTAAAATATATTAATTATTTTAACGTTTTAAATGGGATTTATTTATTTCACATTTTAGATGATTAATTAGATTTATCTGGAATATCTTACCATTCTCCTATATGTTAAAATTATTATTATTATCATTTAATAAAATATTGATTGAAGACTTCAAATAGATCAATTTAAACTACTGGGTGACTTAATAGTAAAAGAACAAAATGAGGGTTTAACATGATCTCTTGAGTTTGAGTCTCCACGACCCCTAATAGGAGTGACTACTAAAACTTTTACCCGATTGGTAATTCCAAGGTTCCGAAGGATAGTTTGACATTAAAACCTTCAAAACAGGCACAAACGACTAGACTAATGTTTCTGTCGATTAAATATAACGGTTTAAGACATAGAAAAAATATTTTGAATAACCATAGACATTTTATATCAGACGACATTTTTTTTGACAAATAATTTGAAGTTTTGGTCAAACCGATGATTGTTTTAATACTATTATAATTCTTGAACGTAAAAATAGTCAATTGTAACCTTAAGGGGTTGACTTTGTGGCCAAAGAGGTTTGCTATTTTCAATTAAGTTTTTGGGTTTAAACCTTAGAATTATCTACCATATTGTGATTTATCTAGTTCTTTGTACTTATAGGGTTTTCACTGAACTTCGGAGATTAGTTAAGATATGTACAAATTAATCTAGACACTTCGGTTACCAAAAAAAAATTAACCTGTCATTTAACCAATATTGACAGATGTTTATCAACCCAAAATTGAGGAAAAAGTTTCTTCACACCAAATCTCACAGGGTGGCAATATAATGAATTCATATTAAAAATAGACCGTCCAACAAGAATTTGATTCAAGTATAGACGTATATTTAATTAAATTAAAATAAAGTTGAAGAAAACTTTAAGCTAAGAAAGAAAGAAAGTTGAGTTGGCAAGGACCATGTCAATGGAACATGGTTAGGTTACCAAGGACCAAATTTTGTGATTTGTAAAGTGAATGGTTACATAACATTTGGAGATTTTTTATATAATGCGTTTTTTTTTTTTTTTTTTTTTTAATATAAAGTTCTAAGATTGAGATGACTCAAGCCCTAAAATAATAGACAAATAACCCACTATGTAATGACCCGTTTGGCATCAACTGGTTAATTAATGGTAGTTATTGACAGTTTCTTATATTGGTTATTAATGCCAAAAAAAAAAATGAAAAAAAGGAAGAACAAGTAGTATAAAGAATGTGAGACGGCCTTTTAATTTCTAATGTGAGACGGCCTTTTAATTTCTAACTCAAAATTTGGTACAACTAGTCAACTACTATGTTAAGTTTTAAAATATGAAGTAAGATTCTTTCTTGATGTTTAAATCTTCTAAAATGATATTATTTTATTATGATGAAAATTCTTTCTTTGGTATTTATATTATTTGGCTTCCTATTATATAAATATCAAAAAATATATCTTCGGATTTGTTTATGTAGAAGTTTAAATAAAAGATATGATTCGAGATACTGCATCTACGACATTTCCAAAAGGGTTCTTTTAAGGGAGTGTTTGTATAAGCTTATAAACTGGTCAAACTAGCTTATAAACTCTAAAATTAAGCTAACTTGTTTGTTTATAACTTTTTTGAGCTATAAGCAAAAAATAATAATAATAATAATAATAATAAGTTTGGGAGGAGGTACTTTTTTTGTTTTTTTCCAAACTTATTATTATTATTATAATTATTATTATTATTATTTTTTATTTTTTTATTTTTTTATTTTTTTTTTGCTTATAAGCTAGTTTGATCAAGTATATTACCACATTATCCTTGTTTAATTTGAAAATTCCATAGTATACACTTGTTTAATGTAGTACCATTTTTAGTTATTTTATAATAAAATATACTTATAAGTAGGGATGGGCACAAAGCCAGGCCCCGTGGGGACTCGCCCCGACCCGGCCCGAACGGGACAGATTTTCCTCGAATTGTTCAGGCTTTGGGTCGAGGCCAGGGCCGGGGCTGGGATAGGTTTAGCCCTAGCTTGCCCCAGCCCCGAATTCCCCGGCCAGTATATATATATCAATATTAATTTTAATAATTGAAAATCAATCATATATACCTATAATAATTTTAATATTTGAAAATCAATTATACATTATACAATGACAAATTATATTTGTGTAAGTATTTTATGAAAGAGGAATAGGACCTTACTTGATATGGTTAGGTCCATGATAAGTTTTAGTGATCTACCCTCATCATTATATGGTTATGCCCTAGAGACTACGACTCATGTACTTAACCAAGTGTCGTCAAAGTCTATGGATAAGACTCCATATGAACTGTGGAGTGGATGAAAGCCCAATTTGTCTTATATGAAGATTTGGGATTACAAAGCTTATGTCAAGAAATTGACTTTAAACAATTGGGCCTGTTTTCGGCCATATTGATGGCCGAAAATGTTCAGATGGTCATAGATTTAGCCAGATCGATGAATGTGGCCGTTAATGGCCAAAACCATGGTCATTAACGGCCACATCCATTAATCTGGCTTGAAATGGCCACTTTCGGCTAGCATAAAAACATATCGGGATGTTGATTCCTTCTCTTTCCTTTGCTTAAATTCTGAATTTATTTTCTTACTTCACATTTCCCCATTCTTCTCTATTCTTTCTCTACTTTTACTCTGTTTTTCTCTCTGTTCTTTCTCTTTTCTTTCACTGTTCTAATTTCTCACTACTCAAATAAGGGGCATGATATTATGGGCCGGGGTCGGGATAGGTTTTGCCCCGGCCCGCCCCGACCTCGAATTCCCCAGCCAGTATAATATATATATATATATATCAATTTTAATTTTAATAATTGAAAATAAATCATATATACCTATAATAATTTTAATATTTAAAAATCAATTATGATAAATTATATTTGTGTAAGTATTTTATGAAACTATATAGAAATAGGTAATAAATAAAACTAGATTAAATATAATAAATCATTATAAATATTTGTAATATATTTATAAAACTAGATTTTATATATATATATGTATAAAGTTATACATTTGACATTATACATTATACATTATATATGATATACATTTGATATTATACATTATACATTGTATATTAGTATGATGGTTTTTACATTTAATATGTACATTATATATTTAATTTCTTTTTTGATGATATGGTCTTTACGTTTAATATGTATATTATATATTTAATTTTTTTTTTTTTGGTATATATAATTTGGAGAAAAGGAGAATAAAACTAAGGATACAAAAATACAAAAAACCTATTCCCCGAATTCCCCGTTTGGGGAACGAGCTTTTTTTGGGGATTCCCCGAACGGG